GGACAGATTCACAGTTTTGTTTGGCTGAGGGCTAACCGAGAGACCTACCTGTGAGGGAAATTCGTGAGGGACATATCTGCAAATTTGGGAAAATACAGGCCCGGTACTAACCGGATTCCCTACAGCTACCCTAACTGCGGACAGCAGGTCCGGGCTACCCCTAGGACAGACAGGCCCTGAAAGCCTATTCTGATAGACAGTCCTATAGCCTATAGCTGGGTCCGGTAGAGGCCGAGAGGCCGAAACAGATACGGTACCGGTCGGTCAGTCAGTCCGGTCTAGGTCAAGTCTAGGCTAGTTAGAATCGATAGATAGATTGGGCACATCGGTTCAGGGCTTTTTGGCAGTTGGTACTGAGTACATCGCTGCTGCGCTACTCGTGAACTGGAAGTGGTGACGGCTCAGCGTGGAAGGAGACAGGCATAGCCAGACCTTCGGAGCGCCGGCCATAGCTGGGACCTGCGCTGTACTCTGCCAGTACGCAGGGCCTGACAGAGGTCTGGGTTATCGAGGTCTGCTGGAGGCGAGAGAGATTGGTGCCCTGCTGGACCCTCCTCCGGAGTGGGGTCCCGGGGGGGTTGCACTGCAGCCATAGCTGCAGCTTCTTCTTCTCAGAGGTCATCTTGTCAGGGTTTGGTGGCGCTGCTGCAGACTTCCACCCGGGAAGTCTTCCGACACTTCGTCATCATCAGATACTGTGGCGCTGGTCTTCTTCTTCATCCTCTGAGTGGCGCTTGGCCTCAGAGGCCTGTTTCAGGGTGGCACTGCCCTCAGGAGGCTGTATCTTGGTGGCGCTTGATGTTTCAGGGACTCAGGGGGTGTTACGGGTGCTAATCAGGGTTGGGGAGTGAAGCGCTGCTCATTTCTGAGCAGCGCACTGTAGTACTGAAGTTATCCTGACAATTCGATACTCTGAGTTCAATAAACAGTGTGACACTGTGTTTGGACTATCATTGTTTCATTGTTTCCTGGATGTGATCTGCTCGGCTTTTCTCTATGACTGGTTGTGAGGATTGAGTGGAGTGAATTGCACTTTCAGTGTACCCTGTCATATCGCATGGTCAAGTCTTCCGCTGTGTTTATCTTTCCCTGGGCCGTGTGATACTCCTATCCTCTCCCCTTCCTTCTGGGTATGTATGGGCATACCTGGAAGTCTATGTGAGTGTTGGCCTTCAGGCAACGAACAACCAGAATCATAACATATGACTGCTATGGCTTCTCGTCGCTGGCACCTTTGGGTTACTCAGGGCTCCTTCTGAGCCTTCCTCATCTAGCCCTCCCTTAGTCGCTACACTTAGCACCTACTAGTTCCTCTTCCTCCTGCCTTTGGAGCCATGGTTGCCAGGTTCTTGATGCTTGCTTAGGCAGCCGCTGGAGAAGGCAGTGCCCAACCTTCAGTGGCAAAATGCCAAAATGGACGAGTCAATGGGGCAAGTTGTGGATGCAACTTTCGACCACCCAATAGTGAAACATGCAGCTTGAGGCCAACTCTAGCAGGACCTGGATCCGTCCAGAAGCGAACTTTGCAGGGGCCTTGCTCAGGTCTTAGGTGGTTCAGATCCGCCCAAGGGTTGACTTGACACTTGGTGTTTCTTGCTCAGGTCTCTTTATGACAGTGGACTTGTGGACTTTCTCAGGCCTGGACTACTGGGCTTGGTATGATGCCGAAAACACCACAGAGTCCCCCCCCAGGCGCTAAGGACTTTTTCGGACTCACACAGATACTGACGGCTAAACTTACGGTTCTTGAACTCAGCCTCAGATGCTCTCACCTGAGTTGACCTTGTTCTTTGGAGCTAAGATTTTGCTTCTATTTGACCTTGTCTGAGGGTAGAGTTGCATCGAAGCTGGGGCAGAACCCTTGAAATAATCTTCCATTGTACTGTATAATAGGGACTGTGGATGAGCCAATGTTTGGAGGTTGGAAGGAGGACAAGAGAAGCGGATCTGAATGCCTACACACATCTGACTTCTTCTGTTGAATGTGGTGAGCAGTCTTCCCAGGTGCACTGTGCTTCTTTGAGGCCATTTTATGTACTGGGACAGGGTTGCATCCCTGCCGATTGCCGACCCCGACCGCCGACCGTATTGCAGCCAACCATTAGGGCTGACTGGTGGGCGGTCTGCCGACCAGTCAGAAAACAACCATCCACTGATTTTTTTTCAAATCTGAGTTGGGGGCTGTACTGCGCTCGCTGAGTACAGCCCAAATCCGCTGAGAAACTTTTGGGGATGGGGGGGTTTATGGGGGGGTTGGGGTTGGAGTATAAGGGGGGTATAGGGGTGATATAGGGGGTATTGGGGGGGTCTTGGGGGGGTGTATGGGCGTATTGGGGGCCGCTATGGGGGTGTTGGTGGTGTTATTAGGGGATCTGGACCCTTTTTTTTTTTCTGCGGGGTGCTGACGACCCCCGAACGGTAGGTGCCGACCAGCCGATCGGTCGGCGGGTCGGCAGCCGACCAGTCAAGGACCGTTGGGGGGTGGAACCCTGCTGTAAGTGATAATCCACCTTAACCCCGGCTGTGGTTAAGCATCAACGACTGCTCGAAAGTGATACCGTGAGGTGGGCACCAACCACTGCCCTCAAGGTACCTGTGGCGAAAATCAAAGCAGACTATCACTCACCCACATCAGATGGAAAACTCTACAGAATGTCGGTTCACCCCATCACAACCAAGCAAAACACCCACGAAACAAAGAAAGGTCTGTCACAGCCAAAAAATGCACTCCAGATACTCCGCTGGCGCTAGAGGCACAGCATGGCCGCGTAGTGACGGCCCTGACCACAGCCGCTCGACCTGACCGGAGAAAACCGTAGCAGGGTGCTAGCGAAGTCGTGGTATATATAGTCAAACAGAGCTGCCCGGTAAACCGTAGGCAGAGAGGGAGAAGAGGACAACAAACAAGGGGCTGTGACAAACTGTTTCGTCGGAGTTTCACCGACTCATCAAGAGTCTGAACCCTCAACAGTCTGCAGAATCCCCTAGCTGATTAGACTGTAAGTGATAATCCACCTTAACGCCGGCTGTGGTTAAGCATGGACGACTGCCCGACAACTGATACCCTGAGGTGGGCACCAACCACTGCCCTCAAGGTACCTGTGACGAAAATCAAAGCAGACTATCACTCACCCACACCAGATGGAAAACTCTACAGACTGCTAGGCTACCAGCCGGGCCGCCCGGGTCACCCTATTTTTCCGGGCGGCCCGACCGTGCAAGGACCAGGGAAGGTCCCAGCCAAAAAAAAAAAAAAAAAAATCCGAAAAAAAAACTAT